ATAATTATATATATTGAATGGCAGATTTATTATATATATATATATTTTGAATGGCAGACTTTTAATTTTAATTAATTCCTTAGATAATAACTCCAAACTTAAAAGACATTAAACGAAATTATTAAGTACTGTGTTTGGCCAGTACCAATGGCTATTTTCAACTTTAAAGAAAGAAATAATGAATCAGTTGTCTTATAATTTAAAATAAAAGTAACATTATAAAATTAATAAAAACATACAAGATGTGAATACTTACAATCGAAATATTCTTTCTTAAATTCAGGAAACATGCAGAAAAATCAGCTTCTTTCAGGAGATGAATCAAAGAATACTTTACAAAAAGATTTGAATTATTGATGTAAAGTATCAATAATTCAAATCTTTTTTAAAACAGAACTGCTATTAAGTTATTCCATAGCTTCCAATCTAACTCCTAATGACTTTTCTTCTTTACTCAAACTCAAAGCTTTAAAATGGAAGTTCGGCTTAATAGAACTTGTATAAGACAAATCTAAAACTTTTGCCATACGTGAAAGAAACTGATTTTCTGTTTCCTCAATGTTGGAGAAAATGTATTGGAGTTTATGATTATTATTTTGAAAAATACTATACATAAGTTTTTATTAAATCTTAACAAGTTTTGATTTTTTTAGCCCATTCCTGGAACTTCTTGAACACACACCTTGAAAATTTAAAAACAAACTATGCATGACTTAAAAAGTTCTCTCTCAGTTTAATACTTTCTAATTAATCAAAAATTTAACTTTTTTGTTACACAATCAGAATTATTAAAGTAATACCATTTAAATTACAACTTATCATTTCTTTCATTTTTAGACAATGATATTTCATTAACACATGCCCTCAAACTGAGGGTGTAAAAGATAAATTTTGAAGTATTCAAAGCGTTAAAGCACTTCCAAAAGAATTTTATCAGCAAGTTCTTGCTTATTTAAATAATAGTTACACACAGAGATGAGTGTATATCTATCTGCAAATCTTGCATAATCTTGGATATAAATGTTGTAAGGAAGAAATTCTAAAACTATGAATAGCTCTAATATTGTATGTACAGTATAGACATCATCTTTTCAGTATCTGGTTTAATTTGTGATAAAAAAAAGCAGTAGACTAGATCTTGAACATGTTTGAATATTTGTTTTTTAAATAAAAATCTGCAATAGATGAGAGTGAAAACAATTATTGATTAAGATAAGAGTACTTAACACCACTATAAAACTAAGTGATAGCAAATGTCCTGGATATCTCAAAGCCTTTTGTGCCAATTGGCCAAATTCACAAAGTATAAAAAGAGGTTCTCTATCAACAGAAGTGTTTAAAATAAATAACACTATTAATAGGAATAAACTAAGCAAAAAATAACATAACTTTTTATTGATTGTTGGACAATCATAGTAGTAAAGGCCATCTGACCATTGATAAAAGGTTATGTCATCATCAATGAGATCTATCAAAGACTAAGAAATTTTATTCTGTAATAACAAACTGAATAAGACAAAGGATCATCTAATAGTATGAAATCGAGCTGTTACCTATCTTGGGTTCAACAGCAAGTGGTTGGAAGAGAGTGCTAGTCACAAACAGTTATGTGATTGGAAAATCACAGGAATGATTTGTTACTGTAATTTTCTAATATCAGTAATTTTAAGGTGTGACAATTATATTTTACCAACAAAAATGTAAATATGCTACTGCTGGTTGCTAAGCTTAAAACTATTGTTATTGCAGATGTGTTGTAAGAAAAATGATTGAAAACAATTTTATAGCATTTATTATGAATTCATAACATGAGACGTCTTTATTATTATATTGGGAAATAAAAAAATAACTTTTCTTTTTCTGACTTTTGAATAAAACATTTTAACTTCATTTTATTCTGTAATAACAAACTGAAGTCATAAGGTGTAATTTATTATTATAATAATAATGTGATCATGATTTATTAGATTTAATTTTGAGTGATTTTAAAACACAGTTGAATCAGTTATCTAAAACATATTTATCTCTAAATTTATTTTTTCCCCTGCATTTTCAGTCTAAATTCAATATATTTTCCATGTTTATCTCAAATAATTTCCTCCCAAAACCTACCTCAAATTTCTGAAGTGTCACTCACAATTTTAAAGCTCAGCAACTGTAGTTTTATAGCATAAACTGAAGATGAGAAACATTTCTTGCAATACAGTTATAATTAATGCTGCTTTTCTCTGACTGGCTACAAGTTTCTTCAAATAAAATGCAAGCCAAAGTCAGATATCAGAAACTATTGACAAACTGTTAAGGTATGTCAAAAATTAATTTGTCAAAAGTTTTATTTATAGCTAATATATGTATGTGCTCTACTTGCTATGGTATTAATAAAATACTATACAGTAGTGCCTTGTATAACGTACTTAATCCATTTCAGATACACATCCGTTAAGTGAAAAGTCCGTTATACGAAACGCATTTTTCCACAGAAATACATGTTAAAACATATAATTCGTTCTGCAGCATAAAAGAAATGAAAATGGAGCAGTCACCAATTATGCCGGGTAGTCAGATGTTGTGAGGAGGAGGTGGAGGAACACTTTCTTCACACATTCATACAGATACAGACTTTTTACACATTGCAGCAGGTCTCTTTTTATTGTTTTTTAATAGGAGTCAGATTCAGGAGAGGCTACCGGAGCNAGGAGGAGGTGGAGGAACACTTTCTTCACACATTCATACAGATACAGACTTTTTACACATTGCAGCAGGTCTCTTTTTATTGTTTTTTAATAGGAGTCAGATTCAGGAGAGGCTACCGGAGCTTGCAGGATGATGATCTCTTGTTCCATCCTTTGTTTTTTGGCAGCTGGCTTCTTGAAAAACATGTCCAAGGTGGTCTGTTTCTCTCTCTTCTTCAATACACCTGTCGGAAATGACGGGAAAGGGTGTCATTGTAAAGATCATTCATCCTGTTGGCCTCAGCTGTGTTTGGATAATGAGTGTTATTAAACTCCTGAACCTCTCCCCATTTGACAAAAAAGTTTTTGTCAACTTTCTCCTTCTAATGATTTTTTGCTTTGTTTCAATTGAAATCACCCTTCTGTTTTTTAGAAGCCATGATTTGTACAACACTTGAATAAATGTAAATACCCTGCACTGAGGTGATGTACAGTATGTAATAAAGGGAGCTCTGTACTTCAGATATACTAATAATATATTCTAATAATACTAATATATTATAAAAATAGCAGATTGTTGTTGGCAACGACAAAAGAGTGGAAACATCATTCGCACTTGTTCACCTCACGTAACAGCCAGACAGAAAGTCCGTTATTCGAGGCATATGTTATAAGAGGCACCACTGTATTTCCAATCAAACCTAGTACTGTATTGTGTATGAACCTCTATATTTTGAAACCTGTCTTGAATTTGTTCCTTGTTCCCATGAGATTCAAGATAAACAGGTTCAACTGTAATACAATCTCAATCACTATTATCTACAAAGTTTGTGATGGACATTATTTTAGCATTCTATGCAGTTGTAATGATACTACCATATTGAGAAAAAATGCTTGTTTAGTATATACAGGATGATTCATAAAAGTGGAAACATACTACAAATATAACTTTCACATTTTTAAAGTTATAAACATGACACTTGTCTTACAGTTTACTGACGACAAATTTATTGTTAACACTTTTGTAAAGTTTGAAACTAATTTTAATGAACATTCAAATATTATCTTACTTGTTGTGTCAGATATATCAAATATTAATTATAAAGTTTTAGAGAAGGACAAAATTAGTCTAAATCTTGCCTCAAATCAATTTTATTGATTAAATTTCTCCAAGAATACATTATGAAACAATAAATCAACTTTATATTTATGAACAGTACAGAGTAGTTTACTTCTGAAATCCCCAGAATGAAAATTGTGCAGAGAAGTTTCTTTACCATAACAGAAGCATTATATCCAAATTTAATGTAATCCCAAAGAAAAAAGTCCAATGAAGTTATGTCTGATGAGCATGGTAGTAATTCCAGAGATCCTCCTCAATGAATCCAGTGATCTGGAAAAGCTTGATACAACCAGTCTTTAACCTCAGTGTGGTGATGGAATGGGACTCCATTGTGCTATAACCATAACTGTTGATATGAACTCAGTAGCAAATCTTGTCAAGTCCAACTGTTTCTTTTAAAATCATGATGCTTTATTGAAAATCAATCAATGAACCTTCATAAAGAAAATAAGCCAATTATCCTATGCTGGAAAACACATACTATAAATTAATACACCAATAAACTTGATGGATACTTTCTCTTAGCCAGAGTGAATTTTCATCTGCCCAATAATGTAAGTTGTGGGTGTTGACTCCAACCCTGAAATATCAGGGTTTACCAGTTATCAATACAGATGATGCAAAGTGTGGATTTCCATACATTTGAATTAAAAGTCTGTTAAAAGTTTGAAATAAAGTCAATTGCAAAAATCAACTTGTTTAGTAAAATAAGTTACTTGTAATGCTTGATAGCAATGAAGATGAAATAGGTAAATTCATTTCTTTTCAAAATCCACACTACAGAAGGATGGAAAATTCCACAAACTTCTGAAATGGCTCGTGTGCTGGTTTGAAGATTTGCATTAACTGCTACTAATACAATTACAGTATTATCTTCATTTATTCTTTAAACAGTATTTTTTGTGCAGAATTTCTAGTTTCTACTCTTACTATTTTTAGTATTGCAGTCTATGAAGGATAGCACCAAGTTGGATGCTTCTCTGCATACAGAGTAACAAAATATCATTTCAACCAATTTGTCCTTTGAAAACATGTTGACATTAGATTATGCAAATTAAACCAAGAAATTTGTGTTGTATTTGTAACATGTTTTTATTTTATGTTATACAGAGAAGTTTTTTAACATAGGTTCTTTGGGTTGCAGAAGTAAGTTTCTCTTCATAAATGTAAAGTTGACTTATTGTTTCATAATGGAGAAATTTAAGCAATAAAATTGATTTGAAATAAGATTTGGACTAGTTTTACCATTCCATACAACTTTATACGGCAAACCCTGCTAATTTGGATCCAGTCAACTCAGACTTTGCATAACTTGGACAAATTTTTTCAAAAAAATTGTAATTTAAAATTTCTTAAAAATAGAAAAATTAAGATCAATGAGTGTCTTTGCGATACCATACCTTATATTACTGTAATTGGTAATTTACTACACAGTATACAGCAATGTATACTGTACTGTCATAAAATTTTTTGAGCTAATTTCCTATAATAATAAATTAAGCAATGTAACTTACTAAAGCTCAGTAAAATTTCTGTATAGAGCTGGTCATAATAAGTTATGGTACTGTACTCTATGGTACCTTTATATTTTCCATGTCTTCGAAGAAAACACCCTGTTAACTCAATCTTTACCCCCTATTAGTCCAACTTAGCAGAAGTTTACTGTAATTGAAAAATTTGACATATCTGCCATAATAAATAAGATATTTGAATGACCTTCAAACAAGTTTTATGATCAATAAAAAATGTCAACAATATATTTGTCATACATACATGATTTACTAATGACAAGTGTCACTTATGAACATAACTTTCACATTTTTAAAGTTACAAGGTGTTTTCACCTTTATAAATTCACTCTGTATAAAAAATTATTTCAATTATTAGTACTTTTAAGCATAATAAATGAACTTGCACAAATGAATACAATATAAAAATTCAATAATTTTAGAATTTTCCATTAAACATGAAAAAACTTACTTTAGGATCATTTTTTGTAAATGCAATCGCCAGAAAAGAATTCTTTTCTTCTTGAATGTCAAAAGTAAATTTAACTGTATTACGATAAGTATCGAAGAAACCATACGTGATGGCATATTTACAGTTGTCAGCGTCACAGTCTTTATTTTCTGAAGCATATCTCATGCAATTCTTTCTGTTGCCGCATTCTTTTAAACTAACCGCTAGAATAAATATTTTTAATTATTCATTTGAGATAAGATAAAGTAAATATATTATAAAAATGATTACTTTAATTGCATGAAATAATTGTATAAATTTAATATTCACAAAGAAAAGTTTAACAAATACCTTATTTTAAAGCATATAAGATGTAACTTTTGTCTGGGTCTTATAATTAAGTTCAATCATCCATAGGCTAATGAATTACCCAAAGAACCTTCAGTATGCTACAGGAAACCTCCACCTAACCCAACTCTTGAACAGACTAACACTGAAGTTATTCTAGGTTACCAGTATGTATGATTTGCATGTACCTGATATACATGGTTACAAGGTACTTTTAATTGTAAAGGACTTCTGCTGTGTAATCTGTTTTGTGTTCAATAGAAAATACTAGTGGCATACTTTATATTTTTTCTTTGTTTTAGCTAAGCAGTTTTGCATGCATTCATGTAGACTATTTTAATGATAAATTTTAATTGCAAACAACTACTTTTAAACTCCTCTTTCCCAGATATATGAAAGTAAGCATTTTAATTTTCCTGTTTTTTTACACCAGAATACAGTAAAAATAATTTTGGGGTTAAGTGCCAAAGTCGTAGAATGGCTTAACACTTTCCCTCTAAATATTCTGTGCTGAAATATGAATGTGTCTTATGTCATAAAATACAGTTCTTTTTGTGTTTTAAATTTCATGTTTGATGTTATGCAAAACAAAATTGTTTTTGCAATATTTTTAATTCAATAAGATATAATATAAAAACTATCATATAAAATAAGATTAATTTTTAAATAAAAGGAAAAGATTTAGTTAATGTTTTAAAATTTCTTTGTAAAAACTTGCTGTTCAGACTCATGATTAAAATTGGAAATATATATTATATTTCCAATTTTAATCCAATACATACCAATAAACTTTCTTCCAGAATATCCTAAAATTTAATTAATTTATTTATAATTATTAAATTTACCAAGAGATGGTAAGATAACTGTGCCTAACTCCTGCCAAATTACTTATAATGAGAACTCTGAAGGTTGTCATCACCAATTTCGAAAAAATTTTGTGAACGTGTAGTATTTACTTATACTTAAACTCTCCCAAAGCTGCAGGATCCACTATTCAGACATTATCAAGAAAATCATGATAAAACTTTTCTAGAACTATTAATACCTGTGCAAAAGTGTTATTTGTGTAGTCTCAGCATAGCCTGATTAGTTGAGGTGTTGCGTGAAGAGAATTACTATATGGGTTTGAATCTTGTGTGCAAATTTTTTTACATTTAATATTTTTACATAACAAATTAACTTACTAATTAAATGAAATTCCATTAGAATAAATCTAGGATTAATATGGTTATTATAGAATATTTGAGCTTGGTTGTTTATGTACATCTATAACAATTTGTTAACAGAAATGGAAGAAAAACCAATACCGTAATGATTGAGATAGCAACTTCAAAACTGCATAACAATAATCATCTTGCTTTCAATGACCCATTCCAGAGGCATGGGATATATGGTGGAGTGGATTATATGAAGGTTTTATTTTTGTTCTTGCAATTTTCTCAGGATATACATAGTCATATTATCCACATAAAATTATGGAAGATGTTTTGAACTGTGTTAATTCTGATAACATTATTTAACTGATAATAAATAATTACAAAACAATCTCTAGTGAATGTGTATGTGTGTATGTTTGTGTGTGTAATTAAACATAAAATATATATTTTGATCTTTGAAAAGCAAAAAAATATAATTAATTTTATATAAGAAAATACTTACGATAATCTATAAATTTAAGATTTTTTCTAACTTCAGTATGATACTGTGAACCTGAATAAGACATTCTAAAAAACAAAAAATAAATTTATAGTTAAAATAATTATATACAATATAAAAAAATACATAATTTTGTACAACTATTTTATATTTTCTACATCTATAACATGTTTACTTCACAATCAAACACCAGTTAATTATGGTTTCATATTAATGAAATTTATAATTAAGATTTGAAAATTTGATATGGTAAAATAATCTGATATAAAATTAATTTGCAACATATTGTATTCAAAATGGCCATTCTGTTCTTGTCATAAAACTAGAGGAAACAAACAAAAAAATATAAAAAATTGAACTTTTTCTCACCTCTCAATAGATCATTTGATTTTTGTACTCAATTTGTAAAAACATACAAGGTGTCCCGTCAAAACCACATAAACTCTGCAAAACAAGAATCCTTGTTCAGAGTACATAAAAAAATGACTAAAGCCATATCTCTAAGACCCATAGTTTTCAAGAAATACACTAAACAAAAAGTATAATGTCACATCTGGTGAACAGAAAATAAGCTTTATTGGAAACAATAACATTGGTACTTGCATACAACATTATGCTTAAATAGGAAGATGCTCAAAATGACTACTATGCATATCAATACATGCAGGTACATGACAGAATGGATGACTGCATATGATCTAGCATCATGTTGACAACAAAAGTGAACACAGCATGAAGATGAGCAACAAAGTCACTTTCTGCAGTAACTAGGGTTCAATATACCAATTCCTTAAGGTGGCCTCATAAGAAGAAATCCAAAATTGTGTCAGATCTGGCAATCATAATGGCCACACAATTGTACCCTTACATCCAATTCAGCAACCAGGGTATTCCATATCCAACCAATCATGTACAGGAAAGCAGAAAATTATGAGTCAGAGATCCCAGTTGTGCCCAGTGGTACTGGAAATGTACAAGTTTGTACCTGTTAATAAAAGAAAAAAAAGTCACAGAGGTATGGTTTTTGGGTCATTTATTTTATGTACTCGAAGTAAGGATTCTCATTCTGCAAAGTTTATGCAGTCTTGACAAGACATCTTGTATAATAAACTAATAATAGAAGACAAAATCTGAATTTCACTCTGCTGTAAGCACTAATATGTGTCTACATTTATTAGTAGTAATATACATAAGAGTAAGTATAATGCCTGCCACAAAAACACATTTTTTACTTTAGGTGTAAAAAAAACCATTATGTTCCCTTTCCCTCTAGTATCATTGTGTTCCTCAAGCTTTAATTTGATATAGAGTTTGGACATTATTCAAGTTCGAGACAATTTCCAGTTATCCTGAAGACTGTCCTTTAATAAGTTGCCAAAATATATTTAAGTAATCATCTATTTAAACTGTAATAATAATTTAACATTATAAGCAGGTATTTTGTTCTGTATTGATTAAAGATAAGGGCGGTTTGACAAATTTGAAAAAACAACCAAGAATGAAAGAAACCTACAATTCTGGTTCAGAATTGCTAGTTATGCAAGTTGAATACTTCAAGCTAGGGAATCACTTCACACAATTTAATTTATAAGTTGAGAATTCAAATGAACTTCACTTCACTTATTAAAAAAAATTAATAATGTATATATATATTTCTTTCAATTAATAGTATAAAATTAGTTTTTCAGTCCCTCATAATAATAATCCAAGACAGAAGTCTGTATTTTTGTAATATTAAAATCAATATTTATGTGTATGTACAAAATTCAATAAATTTTATTTGATGGACAGATTATATATTATATATATATAAACAAACAACCATACATATACACACACTGTGTGTGTAAGAATTTCCTTAACTTCTGTATGTTGTGAAATCAATCAAATACTTAAATGAAAAACATTTAATTCAGTAATTCAACAGTAATATGTTTCATTTTGAGTGTATGCTTATCATGGTAACAAATTTCCAAATTATCATCAGCAGGTTTCTGCCACTTGTCATTTCTAAAAATAGATGTAGTTCAGATTTTTATGATTCAATCAATTATTAGAATTAAAGTATTTAATCCAAATTTCACTTATATCCAAAAAATGAACATATAGAAACTGATATAAAAATATTAAAGCCTTTTTTTGTAATTAACTTAAATGTTAAAAAGATTGTCATAATATTCTTTTTAAAAAAAGTTAATAATTGTATTTTAAGATTGTTTTTTATGATTTGAGAATGAAGAAACTCTAAAAATATTTAAAAAAAGGAATAAAATAATTTTTGTAATAACTCAGGATGTATTTCTTCATAATTCGAAGTTTAGACTATTTACAAAAAATCAAAATAACTTTTGAGTCTATCATTATCCTTTTTACACTACCACAGAAGTAAATTTTTGCTTTGAAGAACTCTTGTAAAAATTGTAACAATATGCAAATAATGTAGATACTCGTAACTACCACTAGAGGGCCAGAAGCAGTTTAAAAAGTGGATAAAAATGAAAAGGGTAAAGAATTTCTTTGTGTTTTTAATTGTAAAAGTGTCAGAAACCTACAAGAAAAGGCTGACACTTGATCTTTTTTAACCTTGTGAAGTTTTTTTTACCAATTTTTACCTGTGTTTAAGAAGAGTTCTTCAAAGCAAAAATTTTTTAAGACTGTTACTTCTGTGGTAGTGTAAAAAGGATAATGATAGACTAAAAAGTTATTTTGATTTTTTGTAAATAGTCTAAACTTCGAATTATGAATAAAATAATCTTTTCATTAAATTATGTATATTGTCTTTAAATTAATGAACTTTAACAAATATTTCAATATTCATTGATCGGTGACTTTTGAAACTATGGTGAAGAATCAACCATAGAAATATCACTTGTAGTTTTCAAAAATACATGTAGTTAAAAAAGCCATTGTATTTACAAAAATTACCAATCACTACATATTGAAATATATTATCACTGTCAATTTTTCTTAACAATTATTTAATCATCAGTAGTGAAATATCAATCATCACTAATAATTGCCCTCACTTGTTTTTAGTTGTGTAGTGAAACTTTGTACTTTGGTATCTTTGATTCCTTGTCCAACTTTAAAAAATAAATGTTCACATGTTATTTGTAAATGTAGAAATAGATTAGATAGAAAAACCAAGATGTTTCTTTTTTAAAATGCTAATTACAGTTGTCAATTTTATTATTTATGTGATTAATATAAAAATAAAGTGTTTTATGCAGAGGTTACCCAATTTTTCATTTTTCTTTAATATAATATTTTTGAAGATAATAAATGTTTATTAATATACACTTTGGCTTTAATACTTTTTAAAAATGTTAATGCTCATTTAATAGGTTGGAGTAAAATTAACCTCTCAGCAGTGAACAACGGATATATCCATCAAGGGCAATCATGTGGCAGTGGTGACGACAGATATATCCACAAAATTCTTTTACGGATATCGCCAAAAACTACAGTGAAAAAAATTCATATAAAAAAGAATTATGTAACAACAAAAAATGACTTTTCTTTACTAGACATAAATGTTTACAAAATCTTTTTCCAAAATGGTAATGAGAAAAAAACGTGTGGGAAAATACTTAAAAAATTTCCCACGTTTATACTCCACCATACTTGACTAAGCCACTGCTGAAAGGTTAAGAGTTAACAAATAGCTGTTGAAATGCACAAAATGACAGCCATCACAAATACAACAATAGTAACAATGGAAGTGCAAGCAGTGACAGTAAAATTGTGATCACAGCAAAAAAAATATCACCATGACTAAAATGGAATAGTCACTGATCATCATGAATGAAATCATTAAATATTGTATTTAAAACTCCTCCACCTGCATCAATGGAACTTCATTTAGCTGGAGAATATATCAAACAGAATTTCTTGAAAGTACCAATACTCCAGTCTTTGGTATGCTTATTTTCATTCCAGCATCAGTGCAAACTGTTTCAAACCTATCAAGATTACTCTGTAAATAACTAAGCAGAACCAGATCATCAATAAATGGCAGTCAACTTATTCTATGGTCTCTAAGAGTAACTCTTTTTTCAACCTGGTTGTGTCTTTCAATCCAGTCTATAGTGATTTTGACTTGATACTGTTTATACCAAAACACATCTCTAAGTAGTCATACAGAGGATTTAATGGCTGCTAAAAGGCTAGTCATTAATTCCATATTCATGCAATCCTTTCCATAACTTATTTCAAGGAATTTGGTCTTCTCAAGATCTGTAAAGCTCTATAAAGCTTTTGCATACTCAATTTCCAGACTTTTTCAGGAAGCAGTTTCAGATTATCCATAAATTTTTTCAGGAAAATTGAGCAATGAGATGACTCAATAATTAGAGCATTCACTCCTCTCAACCTTTTTTAAAATAATCCCAGTTTGTCAGTGGTTTGGTCTTTCCATAATCCCTTGCTACCTGACATTAACAGGATATACCACCACCATTCAACTTTTAACATATCAGGTTGTATTTTATCATCATCTTTTTCAAATTTAAATAATTTGTTTGCTTTTCTTTACAACAAATTTCAATTTTCAAATCAACAACAGACTTTTCAATTACTGACATAAGCTTTGCCCATGTGGTTAATTAACTTCTGCATAATCTTTTTCAAATGCATTTCAAGATAAGGATTTATAGATAATCTATGAATGCAGTAGTACCTCAGGATACAAATGCTTCAGCATACGAAATTTTCAGGATACGACATGAAATTCGAACATATTTTTGCTCCACGGTACAAACAAAAACTTACTGTATGACGTTACATTAGTTTGTTGGTCTCAGTCCACGTGTTTGCTTCATCATGGAAGGATCTCGCTCGATAAAGGAAATCTTGAGGTGAAAGTGACTGATTTTATTGAAATCAGAAAGTGACTGATTTTATTGAAAAGAAACATCCCGAAAAGGTTCACACTGGCCATATTGCTGCTCAGTTTAATGACATTTGCCTAAGTCATTTTAAAAAGTAGGCAAAGCCAATCCTCTTTGAATAGATATTTTACCAAGCGACCTCTATCCAGTGAAAGTGCTGGTGGAAGTGAAGGAAAGAAAGCAAAAAGCAGTGAATAAAAAATTTTAAAAAATATAAAAAACAGAAGAGATAAAAAAATTAGTGTTAAGTTATTTTTAAGTTATTGTTACATTATGTTATGTAAGTTAAGTTTTAGTAGTCTATCATTTCCCTTCTCCCTCTCCTCCGCCACCAGTTTGCACCTCCACCGTTGTCTATCCTCAAAGGTAAAATGCAAATAAAACTACATTTTTTATCAATTATTATTCTAATATGGTTATTTTTACATTACAACTACAAAATGAATTTTTCAGTGTTTTCCTTACTAAAGTTTTTTTTTTCAATGTACTACTTAGTTTCAATTTGAGTGTGTTTTTCGTGTTGAAACAGATTATTTGGTTTTACATGTAATCATATGGGGGAAAAATGATTCACTTTATGACATTTTCATGATAAGATCTCAGTTTAGGAACAGATTAATTTCGTATCTTCAGATACTACTGTATATGAAAAACAAACTGTTTGCATATAGGAGGTATTGAAAGCAGTATAATGAACTATGTATTTGACCATTCCATATACATATAGGACTGAAATTAATCTAAAGATGGGAGAGATAATTGAGAATAGGAAACAGAAAAAACAAAAAAGGCAGTTTAAGAGACTGAATGGAATCTGGCAGAATGACATTCTATTCAGCCAATGCTAAAATGTAGAGACTATCAAAAACAAATGAAAGAGGTTTGAAATGGATGCACTGACAATTATATGCAGATTATTCATGCATAAAATAAAAACTAAATAAACTAAAGAAATGAACATAAAAGGATCAATTATTGATGAAATAAAAAAATCAAGGAAGAAATATGTATGAATAAAACAGTTTTAGTTTGTTTTTCTCTTAAAAATTTAACTTTTTTTTTATTCTACCCAGTAGTCTATTTCCATGATAACCCTATCTCCATCAATGATAACCCTTATGGATTAACAGTGGAAATAGACCAAGCCCACCCCACCCAAGTGTACTTCTTAGACATTAACATCAAAATAGAGATCATCCATCAATACAGAAGTGTATCATAAACCAACCGCTCAAACTTTGTATATACCTGCAACATCATGTGACCCACCACAGTATAAGATGGCAGCGTTCAACACCTTAATCAAAAGAGCATAGTCACATTCCTCGTCACAATCAGCTTTCAATTCTGAAATGTGACACAGAGCAAATAGCTAAACAACATGGCTATCACATCTTATGCAAGATAAACAACAAGGTACTCCAACAACAATCCAACAACACCTCTCATTCCAATGATTCCCTGGTTAACTACATACCAATCACGTGCAACCTGGCACTTAAGGCCATATACAACCAGATAGCCAAGAAAAAGAATATCTGCTTGGCATTTAGGAGGTGTACCACAATATTTGATTGGCTTAAGAATGGAAAAGATGCTCCAGACAGCAACACACTTCCGTATACTCTGTGCCCATCATCGATCATAGAGACAACAGCAAAGTAATCTACATCGGGTCCACTAAACGCAACTTAGTAACTAGGATCAAGGAACACAAAGCGAACACCCTACATCATAGAAACAACACCAGCTTAGCGGTATACTCCTCCGACCCAGAAATAGAGCCGCTATTCCCTCTAGCCAGAATTATTCACACCACATTCTGCACAGAACACCTCAAATGGATAGAAGCCATATACATTTGCCTTAACACCCTCGGGAATAAGCATTGCATTAACTTCAAACAAGAAATGAAGATATCAACAGCATGGGAAGCCTTCCTCAATAAAACTCTAAAGTAACAACATACGGATAATGCGCAAGTCTACAATGACGCCATCAGTCACACGTGACAATGTTCCAGAAAGATTTTCCAAAACAATGGTTAATTCTAGACTGGAAATTCGAATTCATATAGGGAATTCATATAGGGAATTCCATAGTGCCTAAAGAACCACATTAGGTTCGAAAACATTTGCAAAGTCCTCTGAATTGGAGAAGAAGAACACCAGTTACAGGTAGTGAAGTTGGGTAATTTATCTACTCCGGTGTTAAAATTTCTTTATAGTTTAGATAATTATGATGCAAAGCAATTTAGTTTATCACCGACATTGAGCAAATACATTTAAATAATTAAGAATGATTAAAAAAATATTTAAGAAAAATAGAAGGGCAATTCTAATAAGCATTTGGCTTTACTTTGTCAATCAATCAGTAGATAAATACAAGAGCTGATCTTGTATTTTTAGTTAAATACTTGACTTTAATCAATTATTAATTTTTAGAAATTGCCTTATTTGTACATTAATTATATAACAGTAGGTAAAAATTGTTTTGTTAATTGAGTAATATACTTTTAAAATTTCCAAAATTTATTATAAATATATTCATAATGTCATTTGCTTTTGTGTTATAAAATACATCTTTAAAATTAGTCATTAATAATTATATTTAAAATTTTTGATTTGTTATATTATGTTTGAAATTATTGTAAAGACAATATTTAAAATAAGAATTCAGAACTTACGAAAAATAAAGTTCTCCTAAATCTTCAGCGGGACTTTTCCAAGCAAAGGTTATGTTTTCTTTTGTTTTATCATCTTTATTAATTATAGCAGTATTAATGTCAGATTTACATTGTACAGGGGAAGCAGAATCTGACCATTTTATAAACTCTCCAACTCCAATATTTTGTTTTTCCTTGCTCTTTATTAATACAGTACACAAAAAGTGTTCTACTCCTTCCTCTTCTGCATCAGGTAATTTATGATAAAACTTACCTAAAAAATAAAATTTAGACATTTCTACATTCTATATATGAAATAAAATAAAAATTTATAAAATGTAAAAAAGCTATAAAATTTAAAATTCATAACATTAAAATGCTAAAAATAAACAGAAATTAATTGTTTTATATGTCAATGCTGACAAAAGTAAGATAATCTGGTTTTTGTTGTTTTTCTTTAACAATAAGAATAAAAAGTTTTAAATTTAATATTTAAAAATTAAAATGCTTATTAAAACAAAAACTGCAAAGAATCCAATAACTTATAAAATATGCAATCATTAAAATTGGGATAAATATATATAAGGCAATTGTAGAAAGCAACAGAAAATAAGTATAAGTATTAAAAACTACATAACTATATGTTAAATTTTTATTGAATGAATTAATATTTTTCAAAAAAAGCCTGAGAATANCCTAACAGGGTACGATGACCTAGGTTATTGAGATACTGTACAGTAATCACACGTACAGACAGACAGACACACACACACACACACACACACAGATTGTTTGGAATTTCATATTAAAGAGATGGCATCATCCTACTATCCTTCTAACAGGTTTTTTCACTCTCCCTTTATAATAATTTTCACAAATGTTTCCTTAAGCAGAAAGTCTGCATTTTTATTTTGTTTTTTTTAACTTCAAAATTTTTAGCAGAGAATCCAAAACCTCCAACAATAAAATTACAAAGCTTGCCAACCTGAGGAAATTGACAGTCCATCATTAATCTGCCTTTAACAATGTACAATATAGATGGGTGAGGCGACAAGGTGACTGCCTCAAGTAGCAAAATGACAGACAGTAAAAACGAACATTCAAAAATGTTAAAAGAAAAAAAAAATAAACAAGTCAAATACAACAATGTCCCACAAGTGTACTTTAAAGTTGCTTATAGATAGTTCATACAAGAATGTTGCACTAGAAGTGCTCCATATCGACAACCATTCTAGAAGCAGGGGCAACAAAAATCAACTTTGCCTCGGGTGCAAGTTACCATCATGCCAGCACCGAATACAGACAAGAGGGAGCAGTATTTGTAATCTATCTGCAACCACACAACACAAGAAAAGAAAGCAGTAAACAAACACTTTAAACATAGTTGTCGTTATCCTCAGGTAATATTTGGGCCAGCAGAATAGTCCATAAAGCCAACCTTTACTGCAAAATACTGAAAATCTACTTTATTACACTTCAAAAGCAGTTAAAATCCACCTTTATGGGTGTGTCAGAATGTCAATAATTTAAACACCCCATTAAATTACAACACCAGTAAATATTTACGAAGGTTTTTAAAGGACATTTTACTAATAAATTAATAATAATGTAAGAATAGAAATTCCTCGTTCTTTTCTATCATCGGAAATCGAACTTCATCCGCAATTATCTAAACAAAAAAGCTTCAACTTTTCTTCCTTCGGTTTAACTCATCCACAAATTTCGAAATTGTTGATTTTTGTTGGCAATCAACGTGAAAAAATGTATAGATAAAGTATAAAAGCTGAAAGTAAAAGTATTAAATTACAAAAACGAAAGTAAATTAAATCAAGCAACGGGCGCGTCTCATCGCTTTGCCACTCGTTAAGCGATTTTTATAGTAAATTAGAAGATAGCAGCACGTGACCAATATAAGAAAATATTGCAAATTTAACACACAAGAAACTGTACTCACAGTTTATGAATCGGCCTCTTCCGTAATTCTCTTTATCACAGGTGAAAGTGGCGTAGACTTGACTAAGTTCCATTAACTGACGATCCGGCGACCTGTCTTTACACGCATTCTTCTCGTAAAACGAATTTATGGAATAAGCTACCGATATAACTATTAATAAAATGAACAAAACAAGAAAAAGCTTCATCTTCGAACGACGACAACTTCGATTGCGACGGATGCCATTCGACAAACACGAATTCTAGCAAAGGCGGAAACGGAAATCGAGAGGTCACGTGATGGGCGAGATTGCGCACTTTGATTGCTGTGATTGTTCCTCTTTCGTCATCTTTTTAGAAATTACTGTTACACATTAAAATTTATATTATGACGTATTCGAGCTTAAAGATGATTTATCAGATCTTCCGGTGCTATAAATTAAAATTATTTTAATTCTTTTGTTAAAATTGTATTGAGAATTTAAAAAAGATTTTTTTCCAAATATGCGTTTTGCCATAAGTGGGAGAACTATTTACATATGTATTAAATTAAGCGGTAACGGAATAGAGTATATTTTATGACATATATGGTAAACGACTGTATGTTAAAGTAAATCCTTTCGAATTGCCTTACAGTATATTGCAAATTATTGTGTCTAGGACCGAGCGATGAGTTATTCTATCTGTAAATATATTTTAGTGATGTCTGTGAAATTGGAGATGCTCGTATCAAGTTTCTGAACAAAAATACTCCCTAAATGAGAATTTATACTTCAAATTTTGTACTAACGATCGAAAGTAGGCTATTCCAACTTAACGATCATTCTGAAATTCCCATTAAGATACGGTAATAGAGTGGAAGCGTAAAGTTGGGGTTGCCTGTCTGTTTTTAAATGAAAATATATAGACTATTTAATTTTTAATTTTTATTAAGTGATGTCACCAAAATTTAAATTTGTACTTTAATTCCCTTATTGTACCGCCGATCATAAATCAGTAATCTTCCATTGGGTTATGCCGGAAGTGCTAACATAACATTTTTGAACGAAAATGTACCGTTTAGTACAGGGGTGTCCAACCCGCGGCCCGCGGGCCGCATGCGGCCCAAGAGAAGTTCCTATGCGGCCCAATAAACGTGTAAACAAAACCGAGAAATGTTTTAATTTTTTTATTATTTATTTATTTCAACGGCGTAAAACTCAAAAAAGAAGTTTCACAAAGCCGTAAACCTGTATTTATATTTTATTTTTGAGCGGAAAAGAAATATTTTCAAATACTTGGAGATGTGTGAATGAGGAAGGATTACTAAATAAAGCTGGAGTTATGACTCAAAGAATTATAGACCCAAATTTGGGAAAAGGAGGGAAAGGTGAAAAAGGACGAAAGATAAAAAGTAGTGAGAAAGGTTAAATAGATCTTCTGTTATGCAAATATTGACCCTTAATTTTCCAACTTTTCTCACTTCTTTATCTTTTGTCCTTTCTCGCCTTTCCCCCTCATTTGGGTCTATAATCCTTTGAATCACAACTCCAGCTTTATTTAGTATTTCTTTCAACGTTACAAGATTTGGCTACATTGCGCCAAATGTGGCTACTTTTTTTTGTTTGCCGTAAAAAATATTCGAAAAAAATAAATGAATTTATATATATTCTAAGTAAAAATTGAAAGTGTCTGTAGTAGTAATTTTTAAAATATCCTTTTTCGTGATAAAGTTTTAATATTTATTATTATAATCTAGACACGTTAATCCTTAAATATACTTGTATATTGGGCCACAAGTATATATTATATAAGCTTGTGGCCCAAATCTCCTTGACTTCTTCCAATGCGGCCCAAAGAAACAAAAAGGTTGGACACCCCTAGTTTAGTACTTAATCTATGTGAATTTTGAACACCAAAATTAGGATGGCCAGATGGCCGAGGCGATTGAGGCGTCAGCCTACCCTTGTGGTGGACCTTGGATCAAATTCGGCCCAATACCCAGGAATTTTTCGGAGGTGATCTGTCCCGGATATGTCTGAGTCCGTTCCTTACCACTAGGTTGTACTATGGTTCGTCCAAACCTACAACTGGCCTGAAAAAAGGCCCTTTTAGTGCCCACAGGAAAGAAAGAGTTAAAAAAAACTAACATTAGAATTTATATAGTAGGCTACTTAAATTCCTTAATTTGTACTAAGCATCAATATAGAAATATTCGATTAGATATTATGTGCACTACTTAAAAACACGAGCAAACATATTTGTTTATTGTTAATAAACATAATTTCTCTCGATCAAAATCTGTTATTCTAAATGTCTGCCATGTTTGTTTTGATTATGGCAACGCAACACTTGGGTGATCCGCCTAGGGGGATGCCTTCCGGGAAGTCTTTTAAAGGGAAACTAGCCCTTATTTAGACGTTATAGACGTGGAGGAAACCCGGAAAACTCCACGTGGCCAGCCGGTCCGAGCGAGGTGCGAATCCACGACCGAATTACCAGTGTTCAGGGAACGAAAACCGCCTGGCCACTGGTGGGTTGCCATGATTTTTAATAATTGGCTGAAAGTAAATTTTTTGAAATAATAGAAAAATGATATACGCTTGTTCCTTTACACCTTCAAAATATAATTATATTATAATAGGATACACAGAATTGCTTTGAAATAAACTTTGAACGGATTAAATTATTTGTTATTGTTATAGACGATCTAATAAACAAAAATACAGAATATAATGCTGTCAAAAACCTGAAATATATTGTTATCTACAATAATTTTACGTTATTTTAATTAATCTTATCGTGTTGTGTGTTTTTGTTATTGTATTATCCAGAAGAATATCAAATTTAATTTATAGAAAAATTTATAAAATAAATGATGATCAATCGATGATACTGATAGGCCTACTACTTTATCCTCTGTTGTGACTCTTATTTTTAGTAAGAGTCACAACAGAGGATAAAGTAGTAGGCCTATCAGTATCATCGACAGAAACCGGAAGACGAATATTTCGTTAATTTACCTACTCATCGAAACATTTTAATTTTTATAAACATCTTTACTTTTTATTAAAGGATGAAAATGCCTAAAAATATACCGTTTTAGTATATCTTCTCTTTTTTGTGATTTAGTAGGCCTGTACTGTAGACTATATGAAAAGGTCTTAAAAACTGGCAAGGACTCTTGCATGACTTTCTCGGCACTCGAGAATGAGGTTAAGAAGACTAAGAAGTTCGATAACACAGGTCTGCAAAAAATTTTTTTTCAGCTGCATGGGCTATTTTTGCTGAATTATATGTTTTAAAGATCATAGATTCTAAAAATGACTTTCATAACATCCTATCACGTATAGGTATTTTGCAAAATAAAAACAAATTTTTGATAAAAGCTATTATTTATTACAATGAACTATAATGAACTATATTATATTTTCTTACAACTAATCAAAAAATTGTTTCTGATACTTATATACAATTTTAGGCCTGCTCTTTTTTCTTATGACACCTTTTCTTCTTCTCTTTGATGTTTCTCCGAACTTGTTTCTGATTTCCTTCTCTGGTTTCTCAATTGAGCATCCGACAGTAATCAGCTAACATACTGACATCCCATTTTCCTTGGTAACATCTCTCGATATCACGGACATCCTGGTGAAATCTTTCACCCTGTTCTTCATTGTAGGCTCCCAAGTTTTCGGGAAAATAGTCAATATGGGAGTGTAAGAAATTAACTTTTAAGCTCATCTTGCATTCTTGAGCTTCATACGCTGCCAGTTTGCGTTATACAATGGTTTTGTAGTCAGGGTATATTCCCCAAAAACTTATGCATTACATTCCTAAAAGAGTCCATGCTTCTTTTTCCTTTTTTCCTATTGTTTCCAAAAAGAGAGGATCAGATAAAGGAGATGGTGACTTTTCACTATGTATTCACCACAAACATAACAGAAGCTGTCGGGAGAAATTACACAACCTCTGCGATCCATATTCAGAAATAAAAATATAGCCTAAGCACAGTAGCGTTCGAATGCTGGATATAAACTAAGTGTGGCATTAGATAGCCAGAGGGATACTGAACTTGTTTAGCTTGTTGAAACATGATCTAATCCAACAGCAGGTTGTTTATATTTATTCCTAGTATCCCAGATAACATATCGAAACATGCTCAACCTAACCAGTAATATTACTCACTATCAACTTTTAATCTGTTCCTACACGATCATGCGATCTTCCTTCTAACGCTAAAACTACTTAACTCACCTTCCCCCTACCACTACTCTCTTCAACCATTAATATTTTTATTTATTTATTGCCAAGTCCAGCTATAATTGATAGAATTAATGTGAGGAGTCTTCGTTTTAAGGCCATTTTTTAAATAAAAAAATTTTAAGTTAACTAGGAATTTTACGCTAAATACAAACAACAACTTGAGTGTTAACAAAAAAAAAATTGACGAGATGGAATGTTTTTGGTGTTTTTTTCGTTTTTACCAAGTTGAAATCTATAAGAAAATGTATAAAAATCCTATGCAATTTTTTACTTGCAGACCTGTGTAATTTTTCAATTATTTCTAACAGTTAAAAAAAAAAGACAAAGGTCTTATTGCGTTAATTTTGATCCCACTCGAGTTATTGCCTCCTACCCTTTCTATCTCCACCTTGACTCCAAATCTCCGAAATGTAATAACATCAATTCTCTATATATAAAAGTATCCCTCTTAAATTTAAAAATTTTTCGTCCATGAGGTCTTGGAATTTTGCCAACATACACACATATAACATTTTGTTCCCATTTTTTTTATGTTTGGAATCAGGCGACCTCAAAACATCGAGAAATGCAGAAAAGTCCGAGTATTGTACTCGGCTGTTAGGCTACAGAACAGAGGGAAAGTAAAAATCTATGTCGAATGTTGATAAATAATGCAATTCATCAATTTCTAAAGTAACATCTGTGTGTCTACTATCGATTGTCTCATCCATAATAAATAAAGAACGGTTGGACAAACGAAAAGTATTTCATCACATAAAAATCGGTCTTATTCGTATAATAAGACTCATCGATTTTGAAAACAGTTCTTCATCGGAAACGGTAGTTATTAATATTTTTATCTGTTATTTATTTCACTTCCCGTTCCCGTTTTAAAATATTATTATTATTATTTAATGCAGGGGAGATCAGAGTAGTTATAATTTCAGCTTAACTTTTTTTTTTTTTTAATAATTTTCCTGTTGTATCTAAAATACTGAAATTTTCAGCTGTGAACCAATATAACTTTGAGTACTGTATACAAATATATATACAAAAATCATTGTTTAATAAATTACACCAG